CGACAACGACGACAACAACGACAACAACGACAACAACGACAACAACGACAACAACGACAACAACAACAACAACAACAACAACAACAACGGCAGCAGCAGCAGCAGCAGCAACAACAACAACAACAATAAAAATAACAATAACAATAACAACACCAATAACAACAACAACAACAACAACAACAACAACAACAACAACAACAACAACAACAGCAACAACAACAACAACAACAACAAAACAGTAGATCGTGGTAGTTTGGGGTTGGGCTGACAGCATTCAGCGATTTTTCAATTTGCGGGTTGATTCATGTGGGCTTGGGTTCAAGATTTTCTGCTGATGTTTAATCGTTTGGTTCTGAGCTCGGGGAGGCACATAGCCATTGTAGCAACACTCAGCGGCATTGAGTGTAGCCCAGCGTAAGCCCAGCATGCATTACTAATACAATGCAGTTTGTGCATGGAGTTTCTGCTCTCCCTAAAGGTCCATGTGCCCAAATAGTATATACATTGGCCTTAATGTAGTCCCTATATAGGTACTTTAGGGCTCATGTATATGCTATATGAATACATGGGCCCAGAGGGTCTTAGCAGAAGGACATCGTAGAGAACTACTGCAACAACCTTTCGCAGCTACTAGTTGGAGCATCTCTTTTGGGACAATGCCGCATTTAGCTCTCGGAAGGTTCTAGCATGTTCTATAACTATGTCACATTGAGGACTCAAGCAGACACGCCTGCATTAAGCTTCATTTTAGCCATCCCAACTAACACGGATGCTCGTGACAACGATTGCACTTCCCCGTCGGCGATTCAAGCCATGACATTTAGCGTCAGGGCTGATTCGTTCAAACATTCGTTTGGGTGTTCGCACCTCCAAACAGCACTCACCTCAACTTTGGAACTAAGAAGCCCTAGAAAGTTTCAGAAAATAGAGACCTCAATGCACACGCTAGATGAATCCTCATATACGGCTGTGACATCTTATACAAACCTGAAAAAGCGTTGTCGAGGCTTTCAATATCTTTGACAACCCTGATCGGACACTGTAATCCATAAACCGTAAGCACCTAAGCCCCATGGCCGAAAAACAAATACCCACCAATCCCTCAACCCCCAAAGCCAAAATCCCTAGTTAAACCGAAGACTCTAAACTCCCTATAGAAGTACAGGCACTCCTAAAGGAGTCCTTAAACCTAAACCCTAAACCCTAAACCCTAAACTTAAATGAGCTTTCAGGGTTTCCGAGTTCAGGCCATCGAGCTGCCGACAGCCACGCGAACGCCGTCTGGCAGCAAAGAGTCGGAT